AGACAGTCGGGAGAACAAACAGATTGACTAAGTACACTGCTGAGGGGAGCAGCGTGCGGGTCTGGAGAGGTCTGCCGCACCATGTAACTCACCTTCCTGGCAGGGTACCAAACTCATGCAGCAGTGGCTTTGGTAGCTTCATAGTGCTATGCTTTAACCCGTTGTGCCACCAGGGAGGGCCCAGAAATAGCACACTTCTAAATTATCTAATTTTTAGATTACTAACTTAGTTTTCACTCTTCCATTGTTTACCCTTTTGTCCTTTTTGTCAATTAACATCTTACAGACACTTTAGGGGGGGAAAAAAAGCTGGGAAAGATTCAAGATTTACCATTAAAGCTTACAGTTTATCAGTATTTCTTAACTAGTAGTTCAGTAAAGCTTAAATTTTAATTGTAGCGCTGTTAATATGTAATTAACTGTGAAAACCTAGCCACAGTAACTACTTAAAATTTTTTTTAACTTAGTTTGTAATAGTAGTTAAAACTTATTTACCTCTGGTGGCATGAGTGTTTCATAATGGGGGGGGGGGGGAATGTTTCCTGACTAGTACATCTGCAATAAAATGCAGAGTAGGAACTGATGTGAAAGGAATGAGCACAAGTTTTTTGCCCCTGTGCTTTTTTTTTTTTTAAAGGCAATTCCTTGTTCTAGCACTAGATGGCATTAGCGCTCTGTTTTCCAGCCTTAATAGTTTGTGGATTGCTGTTATTCAGTAAATTTTTACTTTAATAAATGACAGGTTAAAAATAGAAGTGTCTCAGGATCATCTTTTAAATACATGCTAACTGTGAATTTTATAGTAGAGTTAGAAAGTAATTTCAGTTTGTATGTAGCCACTAACAAAAATTATCTCAAAATTCAAGCACCGTGATAATTAAACTCTAGTGAAAAAACAAAAACCTTGGCTTCTTTGAGTTCTGTGCTGTGTCAATTGTATATACCTTATTAAAACTTTAGCTTCTAAATACCTGGGGTGAGTGGTTTAACCTTACTAGGGACATAAATCCATGGTACTCAATGGAATATGTAAATGACATTACCATGCTGTGTTTGAAAATGAGTAAAGATGAATCTCCTGCTGTTGATACTCCTTATTGTGAACATCAAAAGAATAATTACTGAGTATGGTACAGATGGCAGAAAAAAATAAAAGTCTTAAGATTTTAAATATATTTCTTCCATAAAGAAGTTGTTATCAGTAACTCCCCATGATTTTTTAATATTTAATACTTTCAGCATCACAATATTTTCCAGATTGCATGATTGTTTTTGAACATTGAATGTGTTTGATCAAGCAAATAAAAACTACAGTGAATTCAATAATAAAATACTTCTTTTTTATAAATTATAACATCTGCATGTAACTCTACCTGCAAATTCTATGTGAAGTTTTTAATAGTGTCATACATTTATGCTTTATTGAACCATAGTTGGATTTTTTTTTAAGATATTATTTATTTTTGCATGGAAGACCTGGGGTCTAGGCCAGGGGGGTAAGAGGATTCACTGGAGCCAGGATGGGGAGCAGAGCAGACAGATCTACTGAAATACACTTGTGAAGGGAGCAGTGGGTGAGATGAGGGATCTGTGCTATGTGGGTCACCTCGTTGACTGGAGAACAAACTCAGACCATTGAGGTGGACCATTGCAAAGAAGCCCTGGATTTTCTTTACTGAATAAAAGGATCTGCCTTTTCAGGCTTGGCAGCATTTTTGCTATTTGGGAGAAAGAAATCTCCCATGGCTGCAGATACTGATAATATTTTGGGAATTCAAAGACTATAATTTTAATGTAAGGTTCTCTACCTCCAAAAATATTGCCATAATATGAAGGGGAGGGAGAGGTTTTCTGTTGCCCTTAGAATTATCTGAACCTGGAGACCTCCCTGGTGGTGCAGAGGTTAAATCTCAGCAATATCAGGCTATTGCCAGCCATTGCAGCATGAGTTAAGATCCCCAGCTAGGGAGCTGACCCACATGACACAGCCCACCTCTCCTGCATTACCCACTGCTCCCCTCAGCAGTGGGTTTCAGTAGATCTACCTGTTCTGCTCCCCACTTTGTCTCTGGTGAACCCTCTCACCTCCCCCCCAATTTCTTGTCTACACCCCAGATTTTGTATGCATAAATAATATTTGTTTGTTTGTTTTAATGAATATTCTGACCCTCTTCCCAGTGGAGGAGATGGAACTACCAGGAAAAAGTTGAAATAATCACTCTGTGAGGGTTTTCTGAGCTTCAGAACATAAGGATGGAAGTTAAAGGGGGTAGATGAAGGGGATGAGAACTCAGATTGAAAGGGATAACTGACAGCCACTGAGATGTCATGGTTATATTGATATGCGTATCATTCTTACAAAGTATAGATTATTTCAGTATGCACAATGTTTATACTATAAAATATTTGGGCACAGTGCCCTTTTCAGAATGAATTTGATTTTCTCTCTTTTTTTTAAAGATTTATTTATTTATGCATACAGACTGGGGTACAGGCCAGAGGGGCGGTGAGAGGATTCACCAGAGACAGAGAACAGGCGGACTGACAAAGTACACTGCTGAGGGGAGCAGAGGGCGGGTCAAGAGAGGTCTGCTGTGCATGTGGCTCACCTCCTGGGCAGGGATCTAACTCATGCTGAAGTGGTTTTAGCTTCTTAATGGCTGTGCTTTAACCCACTGTGCCACCAGGGAGGGCCTTGGTTTTTCTGATTCTAAACAGCTTTATAGCACTGAAGGCTCACTTTGTAAGTTTTGTATAAAATTATAATTGGTACTACTTTTATTTGCACTTGAAAGTCAGAGGGCTTCCCCCTCTTACTCTGTTACTTCACTTCCTGCCATCCCAATCTAGAATGCCATTGTTTATCTATTTCAGTTTTCAAAGCAATTTAGCATCTTGTTGAATATTAGAAATTGATACACTGTTGCTTTCTTTCCCACTTAAGTAAAAGGTTAAACATATTTCTTCTGCAGTTTAAACACATTTTCTATTTCTAAACTCCTGTAACTTTTTATCATTTTTTATTGATAGATATTTAACATAGTTTTAGATATACTATATAGTGATTATATATGTATATTGAAAAATGCTCACAATACATCTGGTTACCATCCGTTACCATGCATAGTTAATTAACAGTTTTTTTTCTTAGGATGAGAACTTTTAAGATCTGCTTTTTAAGCAGCTTTTAGAAGTAACATCAGCTGTATCACCATGCTGTCATTTATCTTAAAACTTGAAGTTTGTATCTTTTCATCACCCATTTCTCACCTTAGTCGAATTCTCAATATCAGGATTCTGAGTTAACTGGTGCTTTGTATTGAAGAATTCTAAAACATAAGGTTGATGATTTTGGTACAAAACCAATGAAATTTTATTATCTAACATGTTTTCTTGTTTTGTTTTTTTAATTACTGATTGAAATTCTTCCTTTCATATTTAAAGATGATGAAAAAGATGAGCATACTTCTAAAAAACGCAAGGTAGAGCCAGGAGAACCAGCAAAGAAGAAAAAGTAGAAAACAAATAACAAGGATTTCTGGACTGCAAACTTCCTGAAATGGTTTTGGGGGCAGATTCAATTGATAATTGTAAATTATTGTGATACAACATCTCCATGAAAGTACATGTTAACTAACTCATATGTATTACTATAAGAATTGTCTACTGTAGAGTTCACTTTTTTATTTAAAACTTATGTATTTAAAACTCAAATGGTGATTTGTGATTGTGAAATTGACAACACTTGGAAGCATTCTTGCTATCACAGATTGGTGACATACATGCCTTGAGAGTTTTGTCACGTGTTGACATGCCATTGTTCTATGAACCTTTTATAAAGGAATATATTTTTAAAGTAAATATACTATAATGTACTGTGAACTTGTAGGGTGCTTTTCAACAGTGTTTTGTACAGTGTAAATAGATCATGGAAATAAAATTACTTATTCAATATTACTATTACTGCATAACATCAACATTGGAGTATTTGTCTGTGACAAGTACAGTTTTGACGTGATGTTTTAAATTATATCGGTGGGTATTATATTTAAGGAGTGCTTCCGTGTTCCAGGTGCTTGTGTGTGCATCTTTCAGATCCTCAAATACTGGTAATACTAGTAAAGCAGTAGAAGTAACTTAATTGTATAACAGAGATTAACTTGTCCAAGGTTTTGCAGTTAGTGAATGATGAATTTGGAATTTAATTCAGGAAACTTAAATTCTAAAATCATCATCTTAATCACCATTCCACCAATCAAAATATAATCATCTTTTAAAATTCAGTTGTCATCACTTCAGGTATTCTTCTGTGTTAGCTAGTTGAGATCTCCCTAATGGTTATTAATTCCCCTGTTGAGTAAAGATCTTTTACAAGGAACTGTGAAGTATAGCAAATAAAAATACAGGGCACCCAGTTAAAACAGAAATTTACATGAGTAACTGTCTTTGTATATGCAGTATTTGGAACATACTTAAACCAAAAATTCGTTTATCTGAAATTCATATTTACTGGAAATCACTTACCTGCTTGTTTTCTCTACCCAACACCTTTTTAATGCCTTTTATACAGTAATACTCAAGAAAATAAGCAGGTGGTAATCAGAGAAATAGTAATGTTTGATGTGAGTTCAACAGTTCAAAATGCACCTGTGCAGTTAATTGTAGTCTTAGGGATAAAAAGTGGAAGCCCTCACACTGCATCAGTCTTTCCCTGATTCTGAGGCCTTTAAGAGTGATGAGTTAATTACAGGCACTGCAGATATGGCGCTTAAGAGTAATTTAAGACATCAGTCTATGAAAAATGATGGTTCCCAAATAAATTTCTGGAGAAATCTATATTCTGGATTCATGTGTTGGAGATACTGCAAAAGTTACTGAATTGACATGATTTTAAAATCAGTGTAATAACAAATCTCATACCAAAAAAGCCCCACAAACCACTGTCTGTAAATCTTTTAGTCTTTTTTGAGGATCAATGTTCAAGCCCCAACTATGATCAGTTAATTTATAGCCGAGAGTAAAAATTCACTGGGTAGGTCAGCCCTTTCTGGTACTTTGAGCCTTCATTCCAAAGGTAATGGAAGAGGGGGAGGGAAATAATGCTTTTTTTTTTTTGGAAAGTGGTGTATGCTTCAGTCTTTTAAACAAGTAATAGCTACACTAGTAAGCATTTGCTGAGAAATATGCCCCTGTGTTAGGTTAGGTTGAATTTCACTTGTGAGAGGAAGGAAGACTTAGGATGAAGGGGGCTAAATTATAGTTCTGACTCACCATTTATATCTCATTGGGTTTCTTATCAAAATAAAGCCGATAATGGGAAGGGAGATGAATTTACTTAGAGATTAATCTTCTGCAGAAATATCTCTGTTTGGAAATGAACTTTCACTTCATTCTACATCCATCATCACATTAGAAATAAATTCTTGCTGTCTTAAGAGGTGTCCAGAGAGCTTTTTTGTAAAGCGTCCATGTGGGTACTTAGGAAGGGAGCTGTTTGCTCCAGCTAGTGAAAACCCAGTGGAGAAGTCCTTATAAAAATCTGGATAGATGGGAAAAAGCTATCCCAGTTACTTCTTTTTTTTAGTGAGTCCAGTCACTTGATGTTTCTGATTGTTTCCTTTAAGTTAAGAAGTTCTGCCACAGCATCTATGAAGTACTTCCTTTTAGTACAAAGATAAAATTTGAGAAAATACCTAAGCATTTATAGGCAATATTTGTAAGTGTTAAGTATAAGTAGCATCGAGTTTTATGAGAAATGTTTTAACTAAAATAACATTACTGAGAAAATTGACACCTTTTTAGCCATTAAGATATTCATATCTGGGCTTAACTTACAAACTTAAACTTTCTCAACTTACCTCTTTGTGCTGTGCTTTTGAGTTCATAAAATTTCTGTCACCCAAAGACAAAAGTTTTAGAAAATATCTAGTGAGGTAGATTTTGTCATTTCCAAATTAGGGGACGGAAGATAGACACTGAGTTGAAGCATTGCGCTGAGCTTGAGAGCCCAGACTAGAAGCTGTATCTCACTCCATGCTAAATTTACAGAGTACCTACTGGGTGCAGTGCATTGTGATAAGAACAAAGGAGCCAGCTTCATTTTGGCAAAATCATTAATAGCCATAGAAAAAGATGTAGCGTACAAGGCGAGTCTGAGATTGGATGCAGTAGTGCAGTGGGGTGATGAGTCTGAATGAACTGATAGTGTCTAGTTGACTGTAATAGCTGAGAGTGAGATTTTTCTTTTACTGCAAACTATGTTTTCATTAAAATATGAATAGAATAATGCAAGTTTAGACATGACCTACCTATAAAACACGTTGCCACACAAGTTAAATACAAAGCTCTACCAGAGCTATTTGGAAAATGTAATTATTTTTACAAGTATCTGAATGAACTCAGCAATTTTTCTAAGTCAAAAACTTTGGCACCTTTAAACCTACAACCAGACTTTAAAATTTATCATTGGTGGTATTTTGGGTTTTGGAGATTTGTATCTATACTGAGCTGCTTTCATCCTCCTATTATCATTTAGTACAGAACTCCCAGTTATTACTACAAAAAAGGTTAAATTTCCACTAAATGTTTCAGACTTTGCATTCAATTCTGAAATTTTCTTCCTCTCCAGCCATATTGTTTTCCCAATTTGAAGCATTGTATTTGCATTTTAATGCAAACAGATACTAATAAGTATGTGTATGAATGGTCCTCAGAGTAGGGACTTTTTGCCTAATGTGCTCACAGTCTACAATACCTAGTACACAGTAGGTGCTCAAAATAATTGCTGAATGTTGATGATAAGCAGAATGCCTCACCTCTGGCTTAGGGGTGATCCTTCAGAGGGTTGTGTTTTCAGTTATATGGGCCAATAAATCTTCATGATAACAGTTTTGAGTTGTTTTCTGTCATTTTTAACACAAACATACTCTTAATGTGGAATTCTTTTTATTCCTTTACTTTCTTACCACATACTGTCCTGGTTCTCTTTCTCTGGCTCCTCTGAACTGCTCTGGGGTGTCAGATTATTCTCATTCTCCATTCTGGCTCTTGACCAATTCAGCCTCACTCATGGCTAACACAATCTGGTGGTTCCCTGCACTGTTCAGCCTTGCCACACGCTCTAATAAAGCTACAGGTTTGTGGACATCTCTGCTTGGGTCTCAAAAGACCTCTCATCGCCTCTGCATTCCAAAACCAAACACATGGTGCCAAACATCACACCACTTATGTCGCCTCACCATCAAAGTAGAAATCTGCCCTCTGTGTTACCAAATCACATAGGTTTGGTCAGTAAACCACAGGGTCCTCTACCCTGTTCTGACTCATCTCTTAACCCAGCTCTAATGAATAATTTACAGTTCCCAAGATGTGCTGTTTGGTTTTTGCCTTCGCTTGTACCATTTGCTCATTCTGGCCCTTCTACTTAGAGAACTCTCTCTCTTTGTCCTCCAAGAATCAGTTCAAGTATTCTTTTATGCACCTTCTTTTACTTTGCATTATTACTTGTACATTGCTTTTGCCCAAACTTAGTCTCAAGTCAATAACCAACATTTTTTAGGTACTCAGTATGTGCCAGGCATTATTCTAGATACTTGACATTTATTAACTCATTTAATATGATGAGGTAAGTGCTATTACTAACCCTACTTTTAGGAGAAAACAGGTATAAAGAGTGTAAGTTATTTGCTCAAGGTGACAGCTGAGAAGGGCTGGCAGCCTGTCTTCTTCACTACACCAGAGAGGGGGAAGGAGCACCCTAATTAAGCAACCAATTGATCTGTTAATTTGTGTGTGTTTGATTCAAAGAACACCTTACTCCTAGAAAGCACTCGGAAAATCAATTGGTGAGTGAACGAGTTCAAATCCAGTTCACTAACCAGAGGAACAGCGTTTGTTAAATAGCCTCAGAAACATTTTTTTGGTCAATTAAAGTCAATACATAAGTATTTGGGAAAGTTCATACATATTCCAGTGCCTCAGTGGTTTATTGATCACATATTTTGAGTACTTTGAAACCAAAGCCTTAATAGTGCTGAAAAATACCTCTGACTAAAAATACTTTTTGAGTTTTTCACATTTAAGGTTTACATATTTTTACATATTTTTAAAGAAAGGGAGCTAACTTTAGCCACAAATTTTGCCTCTGATTTCATTGGGGTTTCACAAACATTTCAAATTACAGTTTAGTTCAGAATCCTAGCACCCGGGCCCAGCAGTAGAGCCTTCCAGAAAGTTTTATGTGATCTTTGCTCTCACAGACCAGCCCATGAAATGATAGGCTTACAGGCTGGATTTGAAAAGTCATTTCCTGCGTGTCTGTAATATTTTGGGACCCAGGATCTGGAACTCCTCTTCCTTTTCCCATGGTTACCATATTCTGAATAAAAGGAGATTTGGTACCTATGATTGAAATAAAAAAAGTGTGGCTCTGTGCCTAGCATAATTACCTGTCTATTCCCAAGTGAGGCCATAATTCTAGCAACCTTCCCTGGCACACCAAGGAATTTGCATTAACGTTTTAAATTTAGAATTCTTGAGATTGACTACAATGGAATAGCAAAATGGAAACTTCCAACTAGAGTTGACTTGTTTGCCAGCCAAGCTATAAAGGAAGCCAACTCAAGAAATTACTGCTGCAAGACTCACAAGCTTGGCAATTTCAAGACCCTGTTGTTACTTTTCTTCTAGTTTTCATTTTGAACACACACACACACAGAGAGACTCTACTCAATAGCATCTTCCTGTCTTTATTTATTTATTTTTACCATGTTCAGCCTTGAGGCCTTCTCCAAGCCTCTTCACAACAAAAAGTGGCCTAAACGTCTTAGCAATATTTCTTGCAAAACATCTGGAATGCACATGTCAAATCTGTAAGGCATAAACTGTTCTTTTTTGTTTCTTTTAATTTAGGCTTAATTACTTGAGCTCCAAATCCCCCCTGCCCCTGCCTCCCTACCAAACTAATTAGGGCAATTATCTGAGCCATCCATAGCTACAGATCTGTTAAAGCCTGTTATTGAGGTTAACAAATGAGAGGGTTAATTTCTCTAGACAGCTCCATAGTTGGGGAAGAAAGATAATAAGCCCTTACATTTGTAGGGTGCTTTGAGTTTTCAAGCTCTTTTTTTCTCTACACAAGGTGCCACCCAGGAGAAGGCTTACTTTAGGGTTCCAGACTGACTGGAACCCTGAGGTTAGGTGACTTCATTCTAAACTGAAGCACTTGGAATTCACTACTACACATGAAAGAGGCTTCCCAGCCTCACTGCTTGAACTGTAGAAAAAAGATTTAGCTGCATTTTTACAGGAATAGTATTGCCAGGTAGTTAACCTCTGGCGCCAACTTAAAGATGTTGACTTAAAACTTTAGACTTAGTAAGTGGCTTTTTCTAGATAATTTGACTGGTGCCCTGTGTGTTTTTAACTTATTTAGAAGTTGCTGAATTCACCCAGTCACTTTAGCTAATTATGAACTACCTAGGATTTTCTATTCTTTTCCCACTTTTGTTTCCATTGTAACAGTAGCAAGGCTATCCTATGTCAGCTTTGCCAGACAGCTAAACCAGAGTTCCTAATTTAATCTTTTGCCCTGGAGAGTTTTATTTTAGATTACACAGTCTAGTGTTGATTTTTTTTTTTAAAGCCCAACAAAGTTACTGGAAAGGGAGTTAGATTTTTCTTATCATTACCATGATTTCAACTAATTCCAACAGGGATTTGTGAAAATGTGACAAGCGGTAATAGAGAACAGATTTTCAACTGCCCTATATAAGTGCCAAAAGAAAGAAAGGAAAAAAACCTATATCATAGAGATAGAGAAAACACAAGTTTACATGGTTTCTTTGCTAATGAATATGGTTTTAAAGTGAAATGAGTGCATTTAACCTTTTCAAGAATAAGAACAGTGTTTATGGGCCCTCCCTGGTGGTGCAGGGCTTAAAGCACAGCACAAAGAAGCTAAAGCCATTTCAGCATAAGTTCGATCCCCGCCTGCCCGGGAGGTGATCCCACATAGCATGGCAGACCTCTCCTGACCTGCCCGCTGCTCCCCTCAGCAGTGTGCTTCGTGGATCTGCCTGTTCTGCTCCCCACTCTGTCTCTGGTGAAACCTCTCACCCCCCATACCTCTGGCCTGTACCCCAGTTCTGTATGCATAAATAAATAAATCTTAAAAAAAAAAGAACAGTGTTTACATCAAAAAATGCAATGATAATTTACTATATTATGTCCCATTGTTTCAATTCTCATAGCATTAAATATTAGATATAAATTCTTATAGTAGTAATGTTCATTTTATTATGAAAGCAATGCTCACTATAAAAGTTCTGGGATAAAATAAGAAAATAAAAGTTACTTTTAGTAGAGAAATAGACTGGAAACATTTGAATATACAGTACTTTCTTAATGTCTTTTTCTATGCATATATGTACGTATTCTAAACAATAAAAACATTCTACATTCTACTTAACATTTAAAATTATAAATTCCACTATGTATTCTTCACAAGCCAAATGCTTTGTTAGGTGTATGTAACATCAGTAAATAATTTTCACTTATCTATTGAACATTAAAATTAGTCCCATATTTTTTAAAAAGATTTATGTATTTATATATACAGAACTGGGGTACAGGTCAGAGGTGCAGGGGCAGAGAGAGGATTCACCAGAGACAGAGTGGGGAGCAGAACAGGCAGATTGACGAAGTACATTGCTGAGGGGAGCAGTGGGTGGGTCAGGAGAGGTCTGCCTCGCCATGTGGGGCAGCAGGGATCGAACTCATGCGGAAGTGGCTTTAGCTTCTCAGTGCTGTGCTTTAACCCACTGCGCCACCAGGGAGGGCCTAGTTCCATATTTTATCATTATAAATAACACTAAAATGAACAGCTCAGTAACTAAGCATTTGGTTGTTATATTTTATCATAGAACTATTTTAGTACAAATTTATGTATAAAATTCTTGCAGTTTGTTTGACTTACTGCTTCTAACTTCTTAAGGCCACATTTAAACAAGTATTTTTGAAAGTTTTGTACATGTTCTTAAGTCCTAAATGTTCCTTTCCAGGAGCCAGCTCTTTATATAGCACTTGGTATTTCTAATATGTACTCTTTTTAGCTGCTCTGAAAAAAAAAAAAACAACAACAACATTTTAAAAGACTCCTCCAAAAAGCTACTCAGATTCCAAAAAGTTACTCACCAGGGCTGAAATTGAGAACCTGGTTATTTTGCCTTCAGCAAAAGAAATTTGTGGCCACTACACTCTAAAGACAAATTTGGAGATGAAAAGAGAACTGGGGGGTGGGGGGGCTGTGAGAAAAGTAGATTCACCCCTCCCCTAGACCCCAGGCCCCCACTTCTACAATATTGTAATTAGCAGAGAAAACCATAGGTGCAGCCACCAACTGCTCTGGAAATACCCACTTCAGGGCCTCCCTGGTGGCGCAAGGCGTTCAGTCTGAGCACTGTCAAGCTATCAGCAGCCACTGCAGCACCAGTCCAATGCCAGCCAGGGAGGTGACCCACATGGTGCAGCAGACCCCTCCTGTCTCGCCCGCTGCTCCCCTCAGCAGTGTGTTTCAGTCCATCTGTCTGTTCTGCTCCCCACTCTGTCTCTGGTAAATTTTCTTACTCCCCTCACCTCTGGCCTGTATCCCAATTCTTCTATGCATAAATCAATACAATAAATCTTTAAAGAAAAAGAAATACCCACTGCATTCAAGCATGGCAGGCCAGGCCAGAGGGGTTCCCCACAGCAGCTCACTTGCCTCACTGCAAGGCTGTACCCAGAGCTAGCCAGCAAGGAGGGAGAATGCCAGGGAATACCTACTCCTCATAAAAGGAAAGAAAGAAAATGCCTCCTTATCATGACTGGTAGAATGGGGAAA